AAAAAATCTCTCAATACCTGAAATATATGCAAGTTATATTTTATTACGATGCATTACTTATGTTCACCTTATTTTTATACATTATGTTCATCGTATGGTTCAAACATTCACATATGTTGATTTTCGTAAATTTAACATATATTCAACATATGTTCAACATGTGTTCAACATATGCTACTCATATTTCATTTAACTTTCTAACTTGATATTTTTTTTTATTATGTTTCTCAAATAATTTTCTTTTGTATCATTTTTTTTTTACCATTTGATGTTTTGCAGATGAAAATCAAACAATTCTTCAAAGAAAGAAAAAGAATGTAAAACTAGAAACTCATTGCGAGCAATGAGAGGTCTTCCGTCCGATTTTGAAAATAAAAACGAAAATTCAAGCTGAAAAGGTGATAAAAGAAATTCAGACACTCTGGAAATTTAACCCTGGCTGTCATCCTGAAAATCCAACGTGCTAACCATTAACCATTCACTTTTTTGCATCACTTCCTGTCACGACCGGAAGTAACGGCGATACAAGATTTCCTCGCGATTCAAATAAACTGATGACTGACTATCAGTTCTGAAAGTTTTAGACTTCAGTCGTTTACTGTAGCCGAGCAATATTGTGAGAACAAATTCTAATTTTGAGGACAGGTAAACACGCGACCGGAAGTGAATTTTATAAAAAAATCTCTGACTTTTCTCTAGACACTTGCAGTATCTACAAAATGCATAAAAACATTTCAAGTACTTTATCGATAAGAAATATTTGTGAGAAAGTTAAATATCGAAATAACGAAGTTTATCACCTAAAACCGGATGTTGTCTTTTTTTGTTTCCGGTGGAAACTAACATATTTCAAAACAGCGAAAGAGATGCAATAAAGTGATGCAAACTTTAATTTAAAAAAGAAAAGTTAAAATTTTTGATTTCTTTGATCACTTCCTGTGACGACCGGAAGTTACGACGGACGCGTTTAACAAAAATGGTTTTGCGTACTCCTCAAGGTCTGCTGCTCATATAAGTCTGGTGTTTTAATCTTCTACCTGTTTTTGAGATCTCGCTCAGACAATTTCTCATTTTGAGGACAGAAAAACACGCGACCGGAAGTGAATTTTTGAAAGATATTTGAGGTTACTCTAGACCTTTGCAGTCTGAATAACATATTTAAAATTCATTTCAAATACATTATCTATAAAGAATATTTATAGGAAAGTAAAATACGAAATTTTGCAGTTTTTCTCTTATAACCGGAAGTTGTCGTTTTTGTTTCCGGTGGGACCAACATCTTTCGAATCTGCGAAAAAGATGCAATAAAGTGATGCAATTCTTAAATAAAAAAAGAAAAGTTGAAATTTTGGATTTCTTTGATCACTTCCTGTGACGACCGGAAGTGACGGCTGACGCTCTGAACCCAAATGGTTTTGGCTACATCTTAAGGTCTGTTGCATATATAAGTCTGGTGTCTTAATCTCTTACCGTTTCCGAGATCTTGCTCAGCGAACTTCTCATTTTGAGGACAGAAAAGCACGCGACCGGAAGTGAATTTTTGAAAGATATTTGAGGTTACTCTAGACATTTGCTGTCTGAATAACATATTTAAAATTCATTCCAAATACTTTATCTACAAAAGATATTAATGGGAAAGAAAAATACTCAAATTATGTAGTTTTTCTCTTATAACCGGAAGTTGACGTTTTTGTTTCCGGTGGGACCAACATATTCCAGAACTACAAAAGTGATGCAATAATGTGATGTAAGTATTGATTAAAAAAAAAGAAAATTGAAATTTAACGATTTCTTTGATCACTTCCGTAAGCGACCGGAAGTGCCGACGACGAACGAAAAGGTGCCCTCTCCAATCTAGAAATCATGTTCTATCATCTCTAACAAGTCTCCAGTTCATATCTTGAGCCATTCTTGAGAACACTCAAGGACAAAATTTCATTTTAAAATCAGGAAATTGTCCATAACTTGGCACTGGAACCGAATTTACCAAAAAACGGAATTTTATATAAAATTCATACAAAGACCTTTTATCCCTGAAAATTTCAAAGAAATTCATTGAATAGTTTTCGAGAAATCGCGTGCACAAAATTTTGTCTAAAAAAAAAAGAATAATAATAATAACTAGATGCGTTTCTTGTTGCTAGGGCAACAAGTGGTCTTCCGACCGAACTTTTCTCCAGATCGCTGTGCTACCTCACTTCATTTAATACTTTATTGAATGTATTTTTTTCGCGTTTATGTAACACAGTCTTTCAACATAGATCATGATTATTAAAGGATTTTTGCAGAATCTCTGTTAAAAAAGCTTAAAAAAATAAGCAAAAACTATCTTACATGTCTTCACAGAGAAAAATATCATTTACAACTGAAAAAAGAGAGAAACAATCTCCCGCCCCAGCAGGATTCGAACCCGCAACAATACGAGAAAGCTTGGATCGGTCATATGAAAGATATGGAGATAACGAACAGTATTCAAGCTCAAAAGTCCATTATACAATACAAAATAGGAGCAGAGCAAACACGGACCTCCAAACATCAGAGGTGGGATCAGGTGCCATGGAGGAGTGAGCATCCCCTGCCGACCGGTCACACCTGCCGTGTGCTCCTTGTCATGATCGGGAAATCACGGAAAAATCCGTCGACAATTCAGTGTGTAAATAATGGCCTAACAATTGGTATGAAAAACGTTAGTCAGCATTTGACTCAATGATAAACTGTATTTGCTGACAAGGCCATTGTATCGACCATAGAACTTACGAAATGATGACTTTAAAACGAGACAGCTGATATTCTTGTTTCATCAACTTATTTGTCAATAATTTACCTCGTTTTAGAAATTATACATACGTAGAGCATGCTCTTGCGTATCGAATCAACTGAGAGATATATACCCCGTATGCAGGTGATGAAGGTATATTGCTGCATAAGTAAGGGAAGTTGACGATTGAAAAGTTAAAGTCATCACGTTTATCATAAAGCTTGGTTGTTAGATTACCATTTACATCTTTTTCAAGTAAAATATACAAATATGAAACAGATGTGTCAGACTCTGTGGTATCTTTTATCTCAAGTTCACCAGGACATATCGTATCGACATAAGAATGGAAATAGCCATTGTTAATTGACAATACGTCGTCGATAGATCTAAATGTCGAGTTGAAGACCACAGCAAGTGTTTTCTTCTTTTCACGTACAAGATTTTGGACAAATTCTGCTTCATATGAATACAAAAAAAGGTCTGCTAATAACGGGGCGCAATCAATCTAATTAAAATTAGATGTTCCGAATCCGCTACCGCTTCTCAATCTAATTAAAATTAGATGTTCCGAATCCACTACCGCTTCTCAAACATCTAACAACATCCCATACGGGGTCACGTCAGAACGACCTTTTCATTAGCCAATGAAATCGCTCTTTCCCAAGTTTTGGCTGGTAGTTCGGAGGTTTTCTACGTTATCTCCTTATAATGTAAAAGCCCGAGGAGTTAAGAAGTGGGGCAAAAATGGCGGATACACCGAGGAAAACATGTGTATTGGGTGATGTATGTATTGTTTGCGGGTTTTCCTTTCTTGTGTTAGAGAAAACAGCCGACGGAAAGGAAAATTTACATAAATATTATGAAAATAAGCTTAAATTAAACGCAGAAAGAATCCAATGCATACGAAACGTAACCCAAGTAAGTATAGAACTTGAAGGTGCAAGTAGATCTAATGCAGGTGTGTGTCGGAAGTGTTTTAGACAAGTTGAAGCAGTTATAAAAGCAGAGGAGAAAAACAGTGTTACTAAACAGAAACTTAAAGAAGGTGTAGAGTCTGTGTATCGAACGCAGGTGATGCAACTGCCTTCTCCTCGGCGAAAAAACATTACGAAGCGGATGTTGAGCAGCCCTGGTGCAAGTAAAACAGAGAATAGACCTGCGAAGATGCTTGCTAGTGTGACATACGTTTCACCTGTTAAAATATCTCCTTTCAAGGAAATAACTGGCCAGAGACAAAATGAGAGACAACATCTTCAGGTAAATGAATGACATCATTTCAATATTTCCCAATTTAGATCTATAAATATCTGGGACCTATATACTATAGGTACCTGTAGGACCTATATACTATAGGTCCCTGTAAATATTTTGTCCTCTAGTACATTCCATTGACCCTCACAACATATTAGATTTATTTGAGATAATGCTAAATTCCCAAGTATATAGCCAATATGGGTGTACAGCCCAGTATTCTGCAAATACATGTGTATATTTTTTTTAATAGATGCAACAGGTCAAAGCTATGGAGGGCATATTTGGTAGGTATCATTATTGTAAGGATAAAAATATTAATAATAAAAGATGTTTATTTTATTTCATTCAGTGATATCTGAATGAGATTCAGTGATGGAAATTCTCAGCAATATATTTTATTTTCATCATATGTAATTTTCAAAATGTGTTATCACATAGGCTTGTCGATGGGTATTGAAGATAAACCTAAAAAGTCATCTAAAAGATCTCTGGACTTTAGTCCAGTAGTACCCCCTTTAGATGGATCTGTGGAGGTTATTTATTAGATTTTTAAAAGAAATTTATTTGTTTATTATTATTGTTATTAATCATTGTTATTGGTATTAAAGACTAACTTTAAAAATTAGGTTGAATTCCTACTAATTATAGGTACTTGAAACTTTGTACACATATTAAGAACCAGTCATGAACACTTACATGTATATGAAAAGCAGAGAAATAACTTGTTCATGATTGCCTTGAGTTCAAAGTTCTCTTGTGCCAAAACTGCATGTTCAGTTGACTTGATGAGCTCCATTGCTTCAAAATTTATACCTGACCAGGTGTGAAACATTCATTAATTAAACATCAACTGTCTTTTTAAACAAAAAAAAAAACATTACTAATTTTACTCTATGGTATTTCTAGTAAGATATAGTTTAAAGTTATCAAAAGGAGCTTATTTATTTGTTTTGTTGTCGTTTACCTGATTTTTATGTAGAACTGTTGACAAAAATCAACATTTGTGCATGTGAATTATTATTTTTTTTTATAGGATTTTATTTGTTTGTTGAGACTTGACAACTTTCAACAAAGGAAAGTTCCTGGACAAAATTGATGTAAGATACAAATTTCTGTGACTGGCAATTTCTGCTTCATTTTTGGATAAATGATGTAAACATGTTAAAATACAAAATACAAAGGATGATAAGCATATTTTTACATATCTTGATTTGAAACTAAAGATTTTTTTTATAATTGTTATGAAATATAACTGGACATGATGACTCACAGTTTATAATTATATGTGTATGTTATTCCGTCATTTGACTTCAACTGTCAGATTGTAATTTTAATCATTCTTTATAGGTTTCGGTGTACTATCCAAGTGGAAAGAAGACTGCTCTTATACAGAATGAGACTCATCAGAAAATCTGCAAGGCATTGATCCGTTGCACAAATGTTGATAGTACCATTGTGGAAACCATGTGTTTGTCTAATCCAATGTGCATTATAACTGGAGCAGCAAAGATTGTTAAATCGGAGAGTGTGAACATCTGCAAGCGGGGATCTGGATGTCCATTACAGAAGAAAGACTATGGGGACTTCTTCAACTTCAGCTGGGATCACATTCAGGAATACCTCCAGGAGCATTGCCCTGCTCTTCTGTCTATTATCACTGCTACAGTTTGTGATTTGACACCTAGTGTTTCTAGTAAACCATACCAGCATATAATTCTCACAGCCTGTATTGGATTGCATGGTAGAAGCCAAGATATGTCTTTGGTACAATATGTTGTTGGCTTCATTCTAAAACATGGTGGATGTACGGAACGGGTAATACTTTTAAACATTCAATTAAATTATAATTCTAGGCTGAATTTTTAAAATGTATAATGATCCTGACTTTGTAGTTCGCTAAAGATAAAGTATCTTAAATGTGGATAAACAGGTATTATCATGATTATAAAAATAAAAAAAAATCTCATCCCTAATTAACTTATGTTTGGGGTCAGAGTTTACAATGAAATTGAATGTTTATGACTATCTTTATTTGGAAGGTTGTCAAAGAACAAATCTCATCTGATAAATTTTAGTGTGATGAATCTAATTCAATATTTTTGTTAACATTATGTAACAGGATATTGAAAGGTTGTCCAAGATTGGACTGAGTGTACATCCCACAACTCTCCACAGGAAGCTGGTGAACTGGCAGAATATTCTTGATACCGATATCCTAAAGGCTAGGGATTCCTGGGCAAATGGTGGACATTCTACTTATCAGATCATCGGGGATAATTGGGACAAGGATATATTGCCTTCCTACAGGACACCTGACAGAAAAACAATATCACTGCATTTATTCAATATGTATGCAATTCTTGACAGAGTGGTGTTTGCCCCTGAAAACCATGATAGCCAGACTGATAACATTGAACCTTCAAAGTTTATTCCATCGGTGGCTGAGCAAAGGCAACTTATGAAGGAGTTGTGCTTTCTTATCTCAACATCCATTATAGAAAATCATCCCCAAATGAATGATCTTCTCGTAAAAGTGTACCCAAAACACTTGGAACATACATATTCAAGATATGCAGGGGAGAAAACTTCACAGGTAATCAATTTTGCAGATTGATTTAAAATCTTATTTCATGAAAAGGGGGTCCATTTTAGTACACATATTTTTTAAAATGTGTGAATGAACTTTTGGAAGCCCTGGACAATTATTTGAGGGATATTTAAGTCTGTTCATTTGATCTATAAATATATAGTGTGTGCCCTCTCCGGGTATCATGATAATCATATTAAGTAAATATAATATATAATTTTGAAATTTATTTTCAGTATCCTTTAGGACTACGGGACTGTAATGAAAACAAGACGCAAGATGTGATTCATCTTTTGAAGGATTTGTCAAAGTTATACGTCCCTTGCAAAGATGACACAATTGTAGAAGCAGTGTTTTTTGGAGGTACAGAATGTATATGTATATAGTGTAAAAAGGAACTTGTGTTTAATAATTTTATTCAGCATCACACAGATGTACTTGCATTTTTGTGCAATAGATGTACACATAAATATTATCAATGGGCACATGTATTTTAATTAATATTAAGTAATATTTTTCAAACTACATTTTGCAGGAGATCGCTTGACAGATGAAAGAGTACAATCAGCACAGGAAGCAATGAAGAATGCTGATACTCCATTGGAGAGATTAGAGGGGTTCATATCAAAAATAGAAGATTTCCATCGCATGATGAACTTCTTAGAGGTAAGAATTGTTTACATGCATGATTCAAAATTCTATACTTGTAATTTAATGGGATCTGTTTTTTAAACATTTGTTAAAAACAATTACCCACTGAATGATGAAAGTACACTCTCCAGTGCAATAGAACTTAAACAACTGTCAACATTGCTTGATGATGGTTGCTAATGAAAAAAAAAGATGACTGCACAGAATTCATGTGCTCACGGTTAACTATTACATTTTTTAAAAAGAAAATATTCAGTATGATATTGTAGTTTCTGTTCCTTGGTTGACAGTGGTTTTGTACATGCACAAGTTATGAAATATTAGATGTCATATATTTTAGCAAAATATTTTATGAAATATTAATATCTTATTTACTGGATAAATTGATTAAGACTCTACCAACTTGAGTTCTCTTAATTTTTTTAATACTCTTTTACCTTCTCATTGAATTGGAGAAGTATTAAAGTACATAAATATTTTATTTTTATATTCCAGGCAATTCATAAACTGACTTACAATTCCCAAAGTGGCTCAGACAGATGTACTGCTTACTACTTCCGTAATCTTTTAAACTTGAGAAATGTCAAGGGGAAAGTGTGCAATTCATTTCGAGCATACAAGATGTTATATTATGTTATTTTGGATGCAATCTGTTTAGTAATGTTCCTAGCAATAATGAATTCTGAAAGTGTTGATGAAGAAATTCAGATTCCAGAAGATTTTGACGACAAGACAGATGTAGAGAAGACTGAATGGATAGAAGGTATAAGTAGTCAGATATTGAAGAAATGGTTTTTTGAAGAGTCAGATGATATTTGTGAAAATTTAAGGGAGATAATTTCAAACCCAGATCATCCCGATAATTACTGGATCTCAAATCTGCAAGAGGATGGTCGTTTCAAATGCCATCACTGTGACAAGACATACAAGTACAGCAATACCCTACAATATCATGAAAAAAAATATCATGACGTCAACATTGAAAAACCAAAGCCTAAGCAAAGAAAAAGAGACAAAGACGAAGTAAATGAGTACATAGTTATGTTATTTCGGTTGACACTTTTACTTAAAAATTTAGATTCAGGAATTGATATGGGTGATGGACAAAGAGTCGTGCGCTCAGCCAAATATGAGCTTCCAATATATAATCTGACCAACAAGGTAAAATACATGATTGGGTCTATTCATTTAACAGCCCTTACATCAGGTATTCTTCCAGAACACCAGAAAAATCGACTCATTGCAAACAGATTTGTCAATGTACAAGGTGGAAAAAACAATAATATTTCATTAGATGAATATTTAGAAATGCTTAATAGGGACAGTAAAGTTGTTGCATCAGGGCATCAAACAAAAGACAGCATACTGCAGAACTCAAAAAATTATCCTCATTTAGTGAATATCAAGGATCATTTTGAGGAAGTAAGTGGAATAAGGAAAAGAAAGGGATTTCATCATTTGCCGTCATACAAGACAGATGTTCTAAAGGTTGTTAAAGAATTGACTGATCAGAATGTCTTGACAGTAAACCGCCAGCGGAGATTGGATTGCAAATCTTTAAATCCAGATCGAGATCTTTATTCCTCAGCATACAAGGGACTTTGTACCATGATCCATCGCCATAAACCATCTGCTCCATTCAGGCGCTTGAGGGACCCACACATATGAATACTGGTAGTGGTACTAGACATGAAAATCATGCCAGAATACATTGAAATCCTTACTATATTCATTGAGTATTACCTATCACTTATGTTGTAGGTGATTCATTTGGATAAGACTACATGTTGTTATTTTATATATTGCCATACTTAATGCATTTTGATTTGAAAATACTCTTTTTAAACTTGTGTGTATAGATGTATGAAGGAGATGGGTGAACAAGGCTATTAAAAATGCCTGTAACTTCAAATGTATAAAAGTCATCTTCAGCTTGTGAATTTGTACTACTCTATGCAGCTGATGACAAATAGAGGCATTTAAATCATGTTTGTGATATGTCCCTTGACTAAATAGACTTAAATATTTCTCAGAAAGATACAATTGTTACATTATAAAAAAATATTTTTAAGGTGAGGTAGGTCTTTATTCTATATTTTGTTACTTAAAAATTCTACATTTTGCACATACTCTAAGCATGTTAAGTATTATCTTTCAACCCCCCCCCCCCCCCCAAAAAAAAAAGAGAGAGAAGACCTACTGTACTTATATGGAAAGATTGTGTAATAGTATGAAGAAATGATCATTTTTGACAATTTTGATGTGTGTAAGCTATTTTGTTGATAACTTTTTTCAATCTTAGTTAGATTGCTGCAAATTGTAGTGATTAAAGAAATTTTTGTCATTTGATATAATTTTTTTTTCTATTTTTCACACAGTAGGCATAATGCTGGCCCGGTCCGTTTGTCTTCTTTGTGCGCGTTATAAAATGGTCAATTGAATATCAGTAAAAACTTGACATATATGCTAAAATCTTTTTATTGTTGATTGTTTTTGAAAAATATACTATTGTTTGGCTTTCAGTGTTGGCAGTTATTAATAAATGCTTCAAATAAATGGAAATATGGTCTACTTTTGAGTCTTCCTTAAAAAGTTGAATGATTATGGAAATACACACTTGCATTCAGGGTTGTCCATAAGAATTAAAATAGCAGGGGAAATTTAAAAAAGTAGAATGGAGGTTCCTCCCTTAACAAAGGGATAAAGGGAATACCAAAGTAAACAGGGGATTACATCATTAAATGTCTTAGGAACAAGCCTGTGTATTGTCAGTTTATATATAAAAACTGTTCTTTGGGAGATCTTTCAAAATTCAATGTCTGATAAAAATCTATATTGTTTAATTTTGGGTGGGGGTCATACAGGTTTAATACACAAGTTATATTACAAAGTATTAAATACAGATACCTGTACTTAATAAATTTGATTTTATGTTTAAGGTCTCAAAGTTTGAAAACTGTATATGAACTAGTTTTTTGTCAGACATTGAATCTTTTGATCTTGCTTAACTTCACTTATAATCTTTCCACATTCTAGTGATTAACAAGGAGGTTAAATGTTGTAGAAAACAAGGATTGTATAGATTTATTAAATTGCCAGTGAATGTGATGAAACAAGTCCAAATCGCATGAAGGTGAACATTAACAATCATTAAATTGGACAAACTGTTGCTGAACCATCTCTGTGTGGAGAATCATACATCACTGAATATTTTTAACATGGCAATTTAAATTAAAACAGATTACATTTCAAGAGATGAAATAATCAAACCTTAAAGGCATGCATAATTGCTTATTCAAGTTCTATGTCTGATTCCATTAAAAGTTCGACATCATCATCATAGAGTTCGGTAGATTCACTGTTCGTGTCACTCTCTGAGGCTGGTGGTTCATCTTTTAACATCTTCTCAAGAAGAAAAACATCCTTCTGACAGTCATTACATCTGCACAATAACACACATCTGTCACAACATGTATGGTGTGGATCTTGTGATATTAGACCAAGTTCATTTTCCTTCACAAAAGGTTTCAAAAGTACCTTTCTCCTGCAAGTTTGTGAAATGTACACATCCCTCACTTCCTGTTCCGCTTTTCTTAAATGGTAAGAATTGTAAAGGAGCAAGGCAAGTGCTGGAGTTCCATCCCGACCTACACGACCAATCTCCTGAATGACCTCCACTAATTGCTTTGGAGCTCCATATAAGATCACATTATTTGCACTTGCCATGTCTATCCCCATTCCAAGGGCACTGGTCGCAATAACAATTCTCAAGGAACCATTTTCATTACAAAGGTCATCCAGTATTTTTTTCTTCTTTGAATCTGGTGTCTCAGAATGAAACATGTCACAGAATGATACACAATCCGGCACTTCTGAAGTTAAATAATGATACAATTTGGACACATCCCGAATGCTGGTGCAGTATATAATTGTTCTGGGAAAAGAGTCTAATCCATCAATCATCCAGGCCATTCCTAAATCTACAGAATTTGCAATTTTTTTCACAGCAAGTTTGATGTTGGGTTTGTCAGGTGATAATCTAATTTCAGTTGTGTCTTCCTTCAAATTCAACACTTTGCGGACTCTTCGTGAGATTTTATGTGTGCAAGTTGCACTCAGTGCCAACACTGATGCAGATGGGAAAATTGAACGTAGTTCCCCTAGGTAGCTGAACCATTTCCTAAATGCATCTCTGTCTTCATCATCCTTTTCGCCCCTAAAAACATGAGAAATGAAAAATTCTGATATAGTTTTTTTCGGGGGTGTTAAACAGATTTTACTTGATATCATTATGCACTGTGTCCTTCATAGTTACAAAAATGAGAAGGGCCATTAGTTTGTATCCATAGTGACAACTCTAAATTCAATGTAATTGAAAGCTTGAATGTGTAAAATCTTTATTTGTTGTATTAAAATTTATAATAATTTCATTCTGAAAAAATTGCACATTCTAATTATTTAGTAGCAGTTAAGATACACTGATATTGGGATATATTCAAAAATTACAAAGCAATTGAAAATACTCACCAGCATGCAATGGTGTGAAACTCATCAACAACAATAGTTGATACACCAAACTGATGCAACTGGTCTCTGAATGAGCTATCACCAACAAGCAACTCTGGGGACCCAAATAGGTAATCAAATGCACCTTCCTTAATAATGCGGTCAGCTTCCTGGGTACCATCTAATAATTAAAAAATTTTTTTTTTAAATATCACATCAAGTTTTCATTCATTTATGCTTGCACAGTTTATTCAGGTTTTTCAATATCTTTAGTGAACAAGTTATAATCAATGCTGACAGAGATATAAAACACTTTTACATCTCTGCTGGCGGTAGCGGATTCGGAACATCTAATTTTAATTAGATTGGGGCGCAATTGGTACCCATGGGAATTCCAATAGATTGTTGGAAGACCTGGTCTCCAAAAACCACATAGATATTGTCAATCAGAAACTCAAGCATCTTTTTAATGTCAACTTCAGAGTACTTGTGTGTACAATCAGAATGTTTTTAAACAAAATAATTTTGCAAATGACCAATGACAAGGTAAGTATATTTACGAGTTCCATTTTTATTGAAAAAGCAGCTGTCAATGATATCAAAAAGCCTGGACTTTAATTTATCGTGGGGAATGGTTGTGTATAAAGTTGAAAAGTCGTAAGTTTTAAAGCTGTTGATTTTGGTAAAATCTTGTGATTTCAAATTTTCCAAAAGTTCCTTGGAATTTTTAAGTATCCACATCTGATTTACACCACTTCTCAAATATATTGTTGCACAGTACTCTTGAAGTTTCTCCTTCACCACTGTTAATATCTTAGTGAGGATTAAAGATAGAGGCTTGGTTGAACATATACTGGAACCCGCTATGTATCTTTGTTTGTAAGGATTTTTATGAAGTTTCGGAATCCAATATAAATATGGTAATTCGAATTCATTTTGGTTGTTTGGAATATTAAAAATATTCAAAACTGACATATGATTTTGAAGAATTTCTTCCTTAGAAAGGGAACTATGAGTATAAGTTGGATTACCACTTGTAGAATTAAATCCAAGTTCCTCTAAAATACATTTAATATAATGAATCTTACAAACAAAGACAATATTGTTACCTGCTTTGTCAGCAGGGACCAGTACGTACTGATCATGTAATCTATCTTTGTATTACATATCTTTGCAACAAATGCATCAATCAAAATGATAAAAACATACTTAGAACTCTTAGAAGACTCTCGATTAACCCTGTAAATCCCAGAGAAAAATATTGAAAAACAAAAAAAGTTACAAATTTAACATTTTTTTTAATTCACTTCCGTTTGCGACCGGAAGTACGAACGATGGAAAATAATGGTCGATCAACATATCTACATTTGATGCTCTATCACCTCAGCAAGTTTCATATTCATATCTTATCATATATATCGAAAGACCTTAATAATAACAAGTAAACTAATTGTTCAGAGAACAATAAGAGGCCTTTCCACCTTTTTAAGTGTTTTCGTGTCGTGTTTAGGCCGAAAAAAAGAAAAATGCCAAAAAAAAAAAAAAAAAAAAAAAAAAAAAAAAAAAAAATCCTCCTCCAGCTGGGATCGAACTCAAAACCCTTGGTTTGAAAGGCAGGTGCTCTAACCACTGCGCTACACATTCCGATAAAATTGAGCAAGTTAATTGTTTAAGACTATAGAATAAATACAAGCGTATTTTTAGAATCGGTAGGGGAAGAAAGAAGTTCCGTAAAAGGAAATAGTTCCTGAACTTGCAAGCAGTATATAAAATAACAAGGGACGGGTGTGCGTGAGAAAACGTTAACACTGTTCCCTAATGAAAATGTATTAATAGCCTGTAGCCCGATTCATCGATATTGTGAGCATGCTGAATTTTTTGAAAATAGCTTTGTTGTAAGCTTAAAAGATCGGGTTCGGATTTTAACATTTCTGACTGAATATCCTGAAATAAATATGAAACATTTAAATAAGCATTTCTTTTTGGGTTAAATTAAATATGTGTAGCACAAATTAAACTCCCAACATGCATTTTTAGAAGGGAAACACGACAATGAAAGCGAGAATTGTTTTTAATATACCGAAAATCGCTATTTCTGGAAACTGATTAATTCTAAATAAAAATCAAATAAATTCCAAATGTAAAAGAAAGAGAGAATGCTTGGTATTAAAATGTCGTATCATATCAGGAAAATCGAATGCTACTAACGACATCTGAAGAAATAACCGATAAAAGGTTTAGATCATTTCTTCGTTCACCTGCACTTTAATTCAAACACAACAGAACTTGTAGTTTTTGCCGTGAAACTTCATGACTTCTATAAACTTATAAGACTCATCGTAAAACTCTCAAGAAAGTTTCTCTGAGGTCTATACTACAAATGTACCAAATATGTTGTCGATCCGAGGTCTGGTTTGAATTTTACAGAAATATTCTACGTTGTTGTTGATGTGATTTTTTTTAAGAAGGGGGGGGGGGTTGAATTATTTATTTTATGCCTCTTTTAAACTAAGAATTGTAACTACTTTCACATCTTTAAGCCTGATTGTGACCTTTGGGTCAAGATCAAAGGTCAAGATCAAAGGTCAAGGCCATTTCAAAAAAAAAAAAAACAAAACAAAAACCCAAAACAAAACAAAACAAGGAAATCTTTTCTTTCTATGTTTTTACCTGATACTGGAGCTGGATGCATGTCCTTACTTTTCATTTGACCCAATGTCAAGGCCAAAGGTCAAGGTCAAAGGTCAAGGTCATTTGGTGAATTGCTATATTTCACACATATATAAGGAATTTCTTATGTTTTTAAATGACTTTGACCTTGACCTATATTTCAAGGTCAAAGTCAAACATGCCGATGCAGTTGGTCCCATGTCTCTAGGATACACCGTTTTAAAAAAGGTTCATTAAATGTAAGCAGCATAAACTTTCAGGGGCAGTAACTCATACAAGGGACCAAAGAATGCTTTTGCAATGATAGAATGAAGAGAGTATTAAATGAGTCGAAGACACTGCTGAAGGCTTGGAATCTCTACGTTTTACGGTTTCGGAGGAGTAGCGATAACAAGGTTTTATTGCAAAAGGGGTGACAACTTTTGAATGGGTCAAGCTTTGGGGACAAGAATGAAATCTTAAAATAGTTTTAGAAGGACATATCATAGATGCAAAGATATTCAGTATATGTCGAAAGGTTTTCTACAGAATCTCTGACAAAAAAGCTTTTAAAAATCAGCAAAAACTACCATACATGTTTTTAAAGAGAGAGAAGTCATTAGCAACTGAAAAAAAGAGAAAAACAAAGAAAAAAGAATTAACTACCTCCAGCAGGATTCGAACCCCAGACAGTGGGACAAAGTTTGGATCAGTCATATCTTTGCAATAAATGCACGCATCAAAATATTGAATACATATTTAGAATTCTTGTAAAACACTCTATAAACCCTGTAAATCCTAAAGAAAAATATTGAAAAACAAAAAAGTTGAAAAATTGGATTTTTTGAATTCACTTCCGTTTGCGACCGGAAGTGCCGACGACGAAAAATAAAGGTCGTTCCCCATATTGGAATTTGATGTTCTATTTATTCATTGAGTTTCAATTTCATATCTTTAGCCGTTGTCGAGAAAAATTCTGGACAAAATGCCATTTAAAAAATACAAATTTCCCCAAAAATCGCGAACGGAAGTGATTTTTGAAAAAATGAAAAACACGTCTGGAGATATTTACATGATGCATCTTCCGCGAAAAAATCTCTGAAATCTGCTCACTCACAGCTGAGATATCGCCATAACTATGAAAAAAGAATAATAATAATAATAACTAGATGAGATCTCGTTGCGAGCAACAAGTAGGTCTTCCGTCCGATTTTTCGATAAGATGAGATAAGAATTTTGACTGAGATTTTCGTTAAAAAAAAATAAAAATATAAATTAATTGTTAAGACAAACAATTTTCCTTCAGTAATGTGTAACAAAATACTGATCAATAAAAAGTTATAGATTAAACACTTCTTGGTGCCTTATATGAGTGGTCAGCTCCTTTTTCTTGATATCATCTTAAAGCTCTCATGATTTTGAACACTTTTTGTTCAACAACTATTCAGAAATTCTTTTTCGTTTCCGAGATATATGCAAAAGAAATATTATGGGCCTTCCCTTTAAGTCCTAAATGGGGACATGTAGCAAAAATTGAAAGATTGCATATTATTAAGAATATTATTTTGAACGTCTTTTGTTACAATATTGGTAATCATAATATTCTTCCTTTTCAAGATTTATTGCGCCAAAGATTATACAATCTGACCCCTATTTATCCCTTATTGCATAAGATATTATGTAAACACGATGTTATATAGATAAAGAGTGTGAAGATGAACTATTTCGCTTCAGTAATATATTACAAAATATTGATCATTAAATAGTTATTGATTAAAAAATTTTGGCCCCTCTCGGCCCCTATTTTGAGGGGCCAACCCCATTTTCTTCAAACCACTTTAAAGCTCTTATGATTTTGAACACTTTTTCTTCAACAACTATTCAGAAATTCTTCTTCGTTTACAAGATATATGCAAAAGATATATTTACGGGCCAGCCCTTCAACTCCTAAATGGGGACATTTAGCAGAAATTGAAAAGTTACTTACTGTTTAGAACATAATTTTGAACATCTTTTATTCTATATTGCTTATCAAAACATTTCCCACTTTCGAGATATAAAGTGCTAAAGATTTAGCCTTCTGGCCCCTTATGGCCCCTAATTATGTAACATGTGATGTGAATATTATAATATATAGTTGGAAATTGTTGAGATAAACATTTTTGCTTCAGTAATGAATTGCAAAATATTGATCGTTAAAGAGTTATTGATTAAAGACTTTCGGCCCCTATAAGCCCTTATTTTGAGGGGCAAGTCCCTTTTTCTTGATATCACCTTAAAGCTCTTATGATTTGGAACACTTTTTGTTCAACAACTAGTCAGAAATTCTTTTTCGTTTCTGAGATATTTACAAAAGAAGTATTTAAGGGCCGGCCCTTCAACTCCTTAATGGGGACGTTTAGCAAAAAATGAAAGGTTGCATCTTGTTTACAACATTATTTTGGACATCTTTTGTTCAATATTGCTTATCAAAATATTTCCCACTTTTGAGATATAAAGCGTCAAAGATTTAGCATTCTGGCCCCTTATGGTCCCTAATTA